TCAGTTAGTTCTAGGTAACATTCCGCATCACAGCCTCGGCGTTCACCTTGCTTAACTTTTGGTGATCTAACTACCAAACTTCTGCTCATCTAAAACAGCCTTTAGAAAGTAGCGCAAAAAATTATCTTTTTTCCCGACCATTCCATGATCCAAGCTTTGTCTGTCTACTTCTAGTCGACGCCATGTCGGGTCCGGCCCAACTTGTGCCGCTGTGTGACACCGAATGAAAGACTCCTCCCAAGCCCTCGAATGGTTAAACGCTTTGCAAAACGAAAGCAAGCTCCTGAAGAACACAACCTCTAGTATCTGCTCCTGACTTCTCATGGGGTCCCGAAAGGAACTTTCGTAAAATTTTCGCTAAACGTACCCACCTCTATCTAGAGTTTTCCTTTCCCAAGGGCAATCTGTGATCGAAAATGCCTAATGGGTTTTGTAACAAGTTTGTTTTACCTGCTTGCTCATGTATGCACGACCACGGGGATTGAATGATTCTTTGTGGTCTCTTTTTAATTTTCTATTAACCTACCGATCACCGACCGCTGTGAGCGTCCTTCTATGGCCGCGAAGTGACGTTATTTACAGCTCGCCTATTTTTCTAGAAATACACACATGTCTTCTTGCTCAAAGGTCTTTTGTTCCAAAATGCCGGTGTAATCACATGTTGATAATATAAAATGTACACTGCAGTATTCATGATGTCCCTGAGCGTTCAGAGGGTCCACCAAAAGAGCAAAGCAAATGGAGTTGGCTTCTGGAGCTGGAAATTCCGCTTTTATTCACAATAGTTTAGCTTATTTTTAGCTGCAGGGAAATTCAGTCCCGCTAAGTATAATTTTGTCCTTCTTTGATAGCCAAGCCGCGTTTTGTAGCTACTATTTGCTATCTGGCAAACTCAGCATGCTTATTTAACCGTATTTATAACGACATCGGCACTGCTTCCTTGAGTCTTAAGGTCAATTTGAGGTAAGATATTCCCAATCATTGATGGTTAAGAGAAACAATGTGAACCAGACCTCGCAACTACATTCGCAATAAGACTACTTTAAGGATATAGGCCTTTTCAGAGGAAAAATAAACGCATATACCTTTATTATACGCTAATTCTGTGTGTGGTTGGTACAATCCTCTGGCTTTAATGGTTCTCCGAGAATATCCATGCAAGGCTCAGATCTTTTGTTAATAAAATTGTCCGAGTCTCTTCGACAGTTCTTAATGATCCATTCATGTTCTTCATGATCTACGCAATAGAAATAACAATATAGATTCGACTTTTACCGGCATTTCGAAGAAAATCCATTTCGTAATTAAATACTATCCTGTGCGTTGGATCATAAAACCCATCGCCAGTATCATAGCAGTGGGGTGGAATTTTTCTGGTTGGACCGTTGGTAACATTAGTTTTGCCTGAAAAATAGAAGAAAAACTTAATGGACAGAAAGTTGCAGCAGTCACCGAGTCCATTATCTGACGCTTGCTTACTTTTAAGCTTCCTAAAGCAACTTAAGGATAAGTATAACTTAAGATAACTTAAGGAATCATCATAAAAACAGGAAATCTGAATATTTAAGAGTACATCAAGATATTCCTTGCGTTATTCATTCAAAAATATCTAAGGCTCAAAGTCGTCTTTTAGAATAGCATGTTATTAATATGATTAACAGTTGGCTGAGGTCATATATTTGAATCATCAATGTTACACTTTATGAGCAAATTGGCCTACTGCGCAGAGTTATTTTCGTCAAGACTGAACGATAACCGCAGGAAAATGAATTTTTCAATTAATACTGGAAATAGCACTTAATTTATACCTTTTCTTCCACATATATTTGGTATTAACTACTTGTAACGCGTAATTTTTAATGTCCAATGGATTGATTAAAGAATTAAAACAGTCATTAGCAGATCACTTGTTTTTAACCTCATTATCAAGTTGCATCAATTAAAAAGAGGTCATTTTCCCGTTGAGTTACAGGAAACATGGACCTAGACGCACACAAGGATATTCAAATGAAACACTTTGTCTTAGATTGTATTTTTGTATCTTTTTAACGGAGCTTTGGTAATTAAATTCAAAATTATTTATGTAAAGGACACTGTAAAAAATGAGAAGGCGGACAAAATAGAAAAGTTAGCAACAAATAAAATAGTTATAATATTGTTCCACTGCTTAAAAGTACACACGCAGTTAACAAGTTTTTACTCAGATAATTGACTGCCTAAGAAAGTTAGTTTGATTGCGCTTTTTCTATAAGTAATTGTATTTAAACTGCTCGCTTGTTCCTATCAATGCGGTCTTTTGGTGTTGAAATTTTGCGATTCGTTTATTTCTGTAGAGTAATCTTCACCGAAATTGATGAAAACACTTAGAGTCGATGTTCTTAGTAGAAGGATATTTACAATTTTTCTGGCTTCTTTCTACATAATTTAAGTTTTAATCCTGGTTTGCCTATTTCATTCTGTCAACCCAGTATGTTTGGACATAAGTTCACCCAAATATTTAGTTTGTCGTTGTTTAGTCAGATAAGATGAGTCAAACATAATGATTTGCGAGTACCAATATTTCAGGCAAAATTGGATGAAAATTAAGAAATTGTTTTGAACATTTCAACTTAAGACCCTCTAAAATTTTCTTCCGCATATTTAAGACTCGGTGGGTACATGCTGTTCGTTGGCTCTTAATCTTCTATGTATGCTAGATCTGAATCAGACTTAATGAATTTAAAGCTCTCTATGATGCCTTATCCGTCAGAAAAGCCTCCCAATAGTCTGTACCCTTATTCTGGCTTCTTAATCTTCGTCTGTAACTAATCATATGTAACTTTAGTCGATTTCCAAACCTTTTAAGTAAACATCTGTTTTGAACTCCACTCTAATACCAGTTCGTAGACCCAGGCTCGTATGATATTTGCACGTTCTGCGCCAAATCAATTTAGTTCTTATCCTAATTTGAAGCATTAAAAAAACTAAATCTGTTTTAGCTCTTCTTCTTTTTTATTTTTCTGTGGTTCACGTGGTTATATGCAACACTTCTGCATATGTAGAAGTTACATTATAAATTGAGCTTAATCTTTAAAAATGTTAACCGCAGTTTCAGTGGTTATTTATAAATGCATTTAACATGCTATCAATATATTCGCCTAATCAGGAACTTTAAGTGAATGTTAAACTGATGTAATTATCCCCTGAAGGTCTTACCGGCGGGTTGTAGTCCTTCCAAGATTTCGGTATAGAATCTTCTATCGTGTCCATCACAGTAGGTCCAACCTTGTTCACCGTATTCAAGACCATCTGCAAAGTAATATTTTCCCTTTCTTTATTGCCCAAACGGCAAAACTAACTTTATCGGGATATCCCTTCACGAAGTGGCCCACGTATTTGCTGCCGTCGGTAAAGTATATGGTGCCCTCGCCGTGGAACATTCCATCTTTCATGTCACCCTCATATCGCGCGCCAGTCGGCAACTTGTAGGTACCTTTACCCTCCATTCTAAACGCCCAATGCATATTAATCATAAGTCTACCTTTTGTTTTTATATTCGCCCACATATGAACTCCCAAGAAGCTCCATGATTCGAAAAGGAGGGTGTAGACGATGTCAAGGTCAAATAACTGTTGCTATATTAACAATCGTTTCAACACTAGAGTTAATATTTATATCTGTAGCGCCCGGTTGGCACTGAAAAAAAAAATAGATATAATATCGAGGTAAGAAAGGCAAGCGGCCAGATATACAGCAGAAGTTAGTAATACGGTAGGCAGAGTATTTGACGTGTGCCGGTTATTCGTCCTTTCACGAGAAATCTTTATCGATCTATTAAAGAGTGGTTATGAACTAAGGATGAGCAGTAAAAAACTATGACGAAGGTGTGGCCGGATTTCAGCGACCCCCCGCTTTAAGAAATTGGACTTTATGAAAAAAACTGCTCCAGGATAAGACACGGAGGTGAAGATTGGTAGGCCAACAGCGCTAGCGCACGTGGTAACTCACGAAAAAACGTCAATTGATGTGCAGCATTGACATCTCAGTTATCCGACTGGAATTGTGATGATGGTGAACAGCAAACAAAACGGGTGTGCGTGAAGTTTTGCACGTCCATGTGACTTCCAGTAATTGAGTGAGGGCGGTTTATGAGAACACCATGGTTCTTGGGGGCCATGGGGAATTTAGACTTAATTTTAAGAGGGTCTCCTAAATTCCCGCTTGTCGTTACTCACATATATCGCGATAGCTGGGAATAGTTGAGGTGAATAAAAGGTTAATCGAATCGGTGTTAGATGAATGCGTAGTCTTCGCTTGAAAGCAGACATACCAGGTAACAACCTAACTTAAATTGTCAGATTATTCCAAAGGAAGCTACACCTGGAAGCAACGAATAGAGAGCAATTGCAAGTGGAGGATAAAAAGGACGTATAATCAGTGCGGAATTAGGTAGGCTGTAGGAGCAGTAATCCTGGGGAAAATTTTGTTTATTATTGAAACGAAAAGGAGACAGCAGTCTGGTCCTAGTCGCCAGACTGAAAATGACTGGTAAGCCATTGGGAATCCCAAACCCGAAACTTCTAATCTGGTAAAATGAATCACGAAAAACTACAGAATTTTCATATATACATCAGATCCCTGTGCGTGAGGTGCGTGCATGGCAATGAATGCTGAATCTCTATTCACCACAGAGGATAGGTCTGTGTTCATTTTTACAACGGCAGTCTTCGCGTATTCTTTAGAGAATTGATGAGCACCTGTCTGTAAGCCATCAGATACAAATACTCAAAGTGTCGCTAAAGTAAAAAAAAAGAAGAATATTGGATCCAGACCCTTACTCTAAAGCCTTCCATTAATGGCAGAACAAGGCGTTACTTAGCACGACCTAACCTTTGCTGTGTGATAGTGACTGGATAACTAGGAACCAGGAAAGTTGGGGAGCAGAGTCTAGGGGTAAATTGCTACTTGCTATCCTAGCATAATAAGGAGAAGACCATGCGGAACCTGTATAAGACTTAGCTAAAATCAAATTAAATATCTATTACCGACTGATTTTTATTACGAATTGCAGTTATGGCGTTAAGTAAGGTTACTGTTATTTCCCGCCGAACAAGTTTGGAATTCTCCACTCCTCTTCTCCTACGAGACTCCTGTCCGACCTAT